ATTATATAAAAATATAACTTTTAAATAGTTGATTTGATATTAACATTGATATATTTTTTTTTCAAAATTTTATTATATATTCAAATTTATATTTTATGCAAAAATAAAATTATTAATGTTTTTCTTAAAAACACATAAAATCGTATTTATAACATCGACAGAGACAAGTAATAAAATAGAACATTAAAATCGAGATATGTCTCGTTGCATTACACAAGTACTCTTCTAATATATATATATATATATAACTGAAAAACTAAGAATACACTGATAATCATTCATGTGGTAGTAGTATTCAATGTGTATAGTAATTTATTAGGTATGTAACCAAAATTTGAGACGAATCCACTGATCGAATTTTTGGCGGACCAGACCTATGCAAATTCCTTACACATATTTGGCCTTTTTTGCTCATATTACTGATATAAACACGTCACCATTTCCTCTATTTAGAATGGTTTGTTACAGGTATCCCCCTTGTCAATTCTCCTGAGCTCATCGCACATGCACAGGTATCATCGACAACGTGTCCTCAACCGAGATTCTCGTATTTCTGGTAGGAATCTTCTTCCTGAATCAGGATGTGTGTGTATATATCGATATCTACAAGCATTTGACAGTAATATGTTTATGTTCATGATGTGGTGTTGTATTTGATCAGTTTGAAAATCGAAGTGATAGGTACTACAGTAAGAAGGTGCATTTGGAGAGGTTGATAGAGATGGCGGAGAGGAGGGAGAACGATGATGCTGATAATAAGAAGATTACGATTGGCGTTTGCGTTATGGAAAAGAAGGTGAAATGCGGCCCGGAGGTTCTGTTCCTTTTGCTTGAATTTTGTACACATCTCATAGTTCTTTAATGGCGATAGTGTTTTCGATGAATCTGTATATGGCGATAGTGTTTTTTTCTCACTTGATTTGTTTTTAATTTTGTTTTTGTGTTTGTTTCTATTTATTTCATTTCCTGGTTCTATTCTCTTTTTTCTGTGTTGGCGGCGGCATTAGGTTTTTTCAGCGCCTATGGGGCAAATTTTGGAGAGGTTGCAAGCTTTTGGTGAATTTGAGGTAATGGTTATGTCATTTCATAATTTCCTGTTGAGTTTTGCTTGTTGAATGGAGTAGAGTAGCAGATTTCGATATCTGAACATAAAATGTAGTTCTATGTGAAGAATGGCGATCAAATATCAAATATCAAATATCGCAATATTTTATGGCTTAATCAACATGCAAGTAATCAATATATTTGCTAAAGTTTTTACTCATTACATCTTCTTGTCATATGCTCCTGTAGATCATCCATTTCGGGGACAGAGTTATCCTAGAAGAACCAGTAGAGAGGTACAATTTTTTAGTAATTCCTAAGAGCATCTTCAACAATGACGCCAAAAAAAACACCAAAAACACCAAAAATGGTGGGCCATCTGGCAGTAACTTTTTTTTTTCTTTTTCCAAATCCAATCATACTCTAAACCGGCAAAAATGGTGAGTCTCATGGTTTGCCGTTTGATTTTTCACAAGACATATTTGCAGTGTGAAATCCCAAACCGGCAAAAAAAATTCTCTTTGCGTGCGTTGGAGGAAAGAAAACGGCAAAACCACTCTTTTAGCAGATGGTTGGAGATGCTCTTAGTACTTAATAAGTTCATAGTGCTGATTTGCTCCCCATTTCTGTATATTATTATTCGGGTATGTAGTATTTGTGATGAATTCATATGAATATGAACATTATTAGTATGGCTGCATACATGCGAAGGAAAAATGTGCAATTTAACTTTATTCTTCTTGAACCGTAGATGTTTAACAAATTTGTCTACCTCGAAAGCCTATACTACATACAAGTTACTCAGATTTCACTGTGTGTACTGTCGGGAACATTATAAATGCGAGCTGTGTACTTTCTAAGATACATGTTCAGGTCAGTCCACAAAAACATGAAAAGTAGAAAATGGATCTTGGTACATGCTTGTTAAATAAAGAAGGGCAGGTTTTGTTAAAGTATTCCCTCTGTCTAAAAGAAGATTCTGACCTTGACCTTTTCTTTGAGAGGGTACTTTGAACTTTGAGCTTCAATTTTTTTAACATCAACATCAATGAGAATCATCTTGGAAATCTCGTGAAATAGATAGATACAGTGCGGGTTTGGAAGGCCTGGTATGTGTACACGAAAAATATCACTAAAAGAAGCATCAATTATTAATTTGTAAATTTTAAAATATTATATTTGAACTTCCAAAATCAAAAGCCGACTCTAGTTATGGA